TTAGCAGGTATAAAAAATGACTTCTCTCGATGATTTCTAGAAACTCATGGCTCGCCCAAGCGTGTGAATAGTTTAGGTCCAAATCAGTTCAGATCTGTGGAAAATCGTAAAATAAGACAGTTACTGATGGCAAGATGTTCAATGAATTCAATGTGAAAAATCCTTATTCTGATGTAAACAAACGGTTTGGTTGACGTTTCTTCTCGACTTCGCCCACTGCATTCTACATTGTTGATACGATAAAAGGCCTATAGCGGAAAAAAGTTGCATTTATGAACTTCTCTGATTTGCATGGTACTGTATGTAATTGTTTGTTATGAGCAATGATTCATATTTTTGCTAAAATTCGGCCATTATGGATCTTGTAAAAAATCCAATATGGCACCCTTGAAATTTTTCAAAAAAGTGTAGCAAACAATTGTGCAAAGTTTCATGTAAATCGTAGAAGGACGAGTTTTTCTGATTCGTCATTTGGCGTGGAACTGCTCAGAGGGTAATTGATTGTTATTAAAGGATTTAACACTTTTTTTTTTAAATTTACTAGTATTTTTTAATTGTGTATGTTTATCTCAGACGTCATTTCGATTCGATAAAAAAAATATGGAATAAGGTGATCCAAGAAACGTTTCTCAGTGGAACTGACAGCTAGAAATCTTAGAGTGTGTGAGTGATCTGGTGTTAATGGTGCTGAATGTAAACATAGACAAAGCAGAAATTCACATGAGAATGAACTGCCAGTTCTACTGTGATCTGTCAAAAGTTCTTGATAAACAAAAAATTCAGCTGTTCGCAACTGTCTCATGGACAGCCTTATTCCCCATCTTCAATTTTGTTGCGAGATTTAAAATGGCCGAATTTTAACTCAAATATAAATGATTGACCATAACAAACAATTATGCAAAATTTCACGCAAATCGGAGAAGGTTGCGTCAGTTCGATCTGTCATTTGGCGAGGAACTGTTCTATTTTGAAGAGGAAGAAGGTGGCAATGGTTTGCAGAAAATATCAAAGTCTAGTATCTTAGTAATCCGGGATTCAATTGTTGTACATTAATCTAAACAAAAAACAAAATTGTCAATTGTTTTATCGAAAAGTAAGTAAGCTAGTAAGTAAGTAAGTAAGTAATTAAATAAGTAAGTAAGTAAGTAAGTAAGTAATTAATTAAATAAGTAAGTAAGTCAGTCAGTCAGCAAATAAGTAAGTAAGTAAGATAATAAGTTAAGTAAGTAAGCAAGTAAGTAAGTAAATCAGTAATTAAGTAAGCAAGTAAGTACAGCACCCGTTCATTTTTTGCATCGTACCGAAATCGAACGGATTTGTAAAATAGTGTTTTTTTGCTTCTTGTGATCAAAATGTTTAATAGAAGATTAATTATTAGTAACGTCTACGTCATAGAGATGACTCACTGTGGTTCAAAATTAATGAAATCACAAATCAAATTTCAAAATAAAACCTTTCGATTTTGGCAAAACAAAATTTTTAGGCTTGTTGCCAGTAAGTAAGTAAGTAAGTAAGTAAGTAAGTAAGTAAGTAAGTAAGTAAGTAAGTAAGTAAGTAAGTAAGTAAGTAAGTAAGTAAGTAAGTAAGTAAGTAAGTAAGTAAGTAAGTAAGTAAGTAAGTAAGTAAGTAAGTAAGTAAGTAAGTAAGTAAGTAAGTAAGTAAGTAAGTAAGTAAGTAAGTAAGTAAGTAAGTAAGTAAGTAAGTAAGTAAGTAAGTAAGTAAGTAAGTAAGTAAGTAAGTAAGTAAGTAAGTAAGTAAGTAAGTAAGTAAGTAAGTAAGTAAGTAAGTAAGTAAGTAAGTAAGTAAGTAAGTAAGTAAGTAAGTAAGTAAGTAAGTAAGTAAGTAAGTAAGTAAGTAAGTAAGTAAGTAAGTAAGTAAGTAAGTAAGTAAGTAAGTAAGTAAGTAAGTAAGTAAGTAAGTAAGTAAGTAAGTAAGTAAGTAAGTAAGTAAGTAAGTAAGTAAGTAAGTAAGTAAGTAAGTAAGTAAGTAAGTAAGTAAGTAAGTAAGTAAGTAAGTAAGTAAGTAAGTAAGTAAGTAAGTAAGTAAGTAAGTAAGTAAGTAAGTAAGTAAGTAAGTAAGTAAGTAAGTAAGTAAGTAAGTAAGTAAGTAAGTAAGTAAGTAAGTAAGTAAGTAAGTAAGTAAGTAAGTAAGTAAGTAAGTAAGTAAGTAAGTAAGTAAGTAAGTAAGTAAGTAAGTAAGTAAGTAAGTAAGTAAGTAAGTAAGTAAGTAAGTAAGTAAGTTCTCAGATCTTCTTTGAAATTCTCAGAGCTTCCTCGAGGTTCTCGCAATGCTTTTGACGTTCTTGGTACTGCCCTGTAGTGAAAGGAACTGTCCTTAAGATCTTAAAACTTCCCTGAAGTTTTCTGAACTTCAGTGACGTTCTTAAAATATTTCTGTTTTCGAGCTTCTCTGAACTTCAATGAGATTTCCAGAAATCACTCGCACTGCCACATCAAACTTTCCAGCGGCTTCAAGCATGGGGAAGCAGCTTTCTGGCAGTGAATATTTATACTCCAGATAATGCTAACTCGAATCCGAGCAAAAGCTTCTAGAAGGTTTCACCACAGACAAACAGACATAACACTCACAACCATATTCTTTGCCTTCGCAAATAAGGTTTTAGTTGGGAATGTGCACGCAATGGTCATGGTGGTGCCACTGAAGCGTTAAGCAAGCCACTACATTTCGAACTTATCAATGATGCCAGTTCTTTTTCAAGTCAATTTAGTATTAAGAATTTTCTTCTAAGAGCTATATCTGTTTGTCTGTGGTATCACCTAAGAAGATCTTGAAATTTTCCAGAAGTTTTACTTTAGATATGGCACTGCCTTAAATCTATCGGAAATCACCCTTACAGATCTTTAATCTTCACCGACAGTTCTGTTTTTTTTTTCTGGTGTTCTCAGAGCTTCCTTGAAGTTATTGGAACAGCCCTGAAGATCTCGAAACTTTTTCAAAGCTCACACGATGTGCCTCAAGTTATCTGAATTTCTAAAAAGATCTCTGAATGTCCTTGAACCTCACAGAACTCCTTGAAAGCTACCACAAATTGTCTGAAGCTAATTGAACCACGCTGAAGTTCTCCATGCTTCCCTGAAGTTTCCGAAATATTCCAGAAATTCTCAGAACATCCCTGATATGACTGCAGCTTGTTTATGAAACTTCCCTGAACTCTCGGAATATCCTTTCATTTCTCAGAACTTCTTAAAAAATCCAGTAACTATCTTGAACTGCCCTGAAGTTCGTGCAATTCGCCTGATGGTGTTCCTGGAACTGCCCTGATATAAATTGAACTACCCTGAAGAACTATCTGGACTCCCATGAACTTCCTTAAAGTTTTCGGAACTTCCTTGATGTTCTCGCAAACTTGCTTAAAGTTCTCGCGAACTGTCTTGAAGTTCTCGGGAACTTCCTTGAAGTTCTTGGGAACTTCCTTGAAGTTCTTGGGAACTTCCTTGAAGTTCTTGGGAACTTCCTTGAAGTTCTTGGGAACTTCCTTGAAGTTCTTGGGAACTTCCTTGAAGTTCTTGGGAACTTCCTTGAAGTTCTTGGGAACTTCCTTGAAGTTCTTGGGAACTTCCTTGAAGTTCTTGGGAACTTCCTTGAAGTTCTTGGGAACTTCCTTGAAGTTCTTGGGAACTTCCTTGAAGTTCTTGGGAACTTCCTTGAAGTTCTTGGGAACTTCCTTGAAGTTCTTGGGAACTTCCTTGAAGTTCTTGGGAACTTCCTTGAAGTTCTTGGGAACTTCCTTGAAGTTCTTGGGAACTTCCTTGAAGTTCTTGGGAACTTCCTTGAAGTTCTTGGGAACTTCCTTGAAGTTCTTGGGAACTTCCTTGAAGTTCTTGGGAACTTCCTTGAAGTTCTTGGGAACTTCCTTGAAGTTCTTGGGAACTTCCTTGAAGTTCTTGGGAACTTCCTTGAAGTTCTTGGGAACTTCCTTGAAGTTCTTGGGAACTTCCTTGAAGTTCTTGGGAACTTCCTTGAAGTTCTTGGGAACTTCCTTGAAGTTCTTGGGAACTTCCTTGAAGTTCTTGGGAACTTCCTTGAAGTTCTTGGGAACTTCCTTGAAGTTCTTGGGAACTTCCTTGAAGTTCTTGGGAACTTCCTTGAAGTTCTTGGGAACTTCCTTGAAGTTCTTGGGAACTTCCTTGAAGTTCTTGGGAACTTCCTTGAAGTTCTTGGGAACTTCCTTGAAGTTCTTGAGAACTTCCTTGGAGTTCTTGAGAACTTCCTTGGAGTTCTTGGGAACTTCCTTGAAGTTCTCGGGAACTTCCTTGAAGTTCTCGGGAACTTCCTTGAAGTTCTCGGGAACTTCCTAGAAGTTCTCGGGAACTTCCTAGAAGTTCTCGGGAACTTCCTAGAAGTTCTCGGGAACTTCCTAGAAGTTCTCGCGAACTTCTTTTAAGTTCTCGGATCTTCCTTGAAGTTCTTGGGAACTTCCTTGAAGTTCTTGAGAACTTCCTTGGAGTTCTTGAGAACTTCCTTGGAGTTCTTGGGAACTTCCTTGAAGTTCTCGGGAACTTCCTTGAAGTTCTCGGGAACTTCCTTGAAGTTCTCGGGAACTTCCTAGAAGTTCTCGGGAACTTCCTAGAAGTTCTCGGGAACTTCCTAGAAGTTCTCGCGAACTTCTTTTAAGTTCTCGGATCTTCCTTGAAGGTTCCCGACATGTTCTTAAAGTTCTTAAAATTGTCTCAAAGGTTTCGGAACTTCCGTAAAGTTCTTGATTTTTTCCTGATGTGCAATTTGTGATGATGTGATTCCAATTTCACGTAACTTCTCTAAACTGCCGCTATTCGCATAACAGTCCCATGTCTTGTGGATTTCCTATCTACACAGGACTGTTATGCGAATTGCGGCTGTTAAGTTCTTTAAATATCTAGATGAAGTTATTTTGACTTCTTTCTTCTGTGTTCTTGGGACATCTGTGTAGTTTCTAACGTTATAAGAATGGCCTTAAAGTTTTTAAAACTTTCCTGAAGTGTTCGGAATTTCCTTACACTTTCCGCATTTTTTTTTTTTTTACGGTCTTGGAACTGCCCCAAAGTTCTCTGATTTCTCTTTAATATCTTGAAACATGTTCCTTGAACAATTTAGAGCACATATCTAATCTGTATGAGAGCAGAATTTTCCAAAACTCATCTTATGCATTTTGGTGCTCAGCTTTGATCGTAGATCAAAATCCTGCGCCCAATTATTTTTATTTGAAAAAATCGGTTTAGAGTAACCATGAGTGACCACCATAATAGATCTGATTTAACTAAAATTTAAAAATCGCGGTGAACTTCCTTTGTAACGGCAAATGGATAAACTACCTGACGTTATCAAGAACTCAATTCGTCACACCGTTCCGCCTTCATCACCACTGCAATACCCCTCTATGATACTCCCCGCAAATCACCTGCCATCGTTCCCCCGTTTCTTCGATTCGACCTATTTATGCTTAAAGCTTCTCTCTTTCCTTCTCTCTCACTAATGACCGTTAACTCGAGCTTCCTTTGTATTCATCACATTTCACATTTGGCAGTTGCCTGGAATTCTCCTCCAACTTCTTCCTTCAACTGCTCATAAAAATTCAAATAACTAACATTCCGCGGTTGGTTCCCTATAGTTTAGCGCTTTGTTGATAGGAAAATTCTCCATTTTGACGCCCCCTACTTGTGCTCAACGACTGCGTTTGTTGATTTGCTTAGTTTACAATCTCCACTTCCATGTCCCTTTATTTTCTGTTGGTTTGTTCTGTTATTCTTACACATGTTCTAAAACACTAAATCTAGAATGTCTGTGAGTTTGAGTCTCATGGTTATTACTTTCGTATGTTTCTTCCTTCCTCGCTTCGATTTGTGTTAAATTTTTTGTTTGTTTTGTTTTGTTTTGCCTACTAGTCTATCTTTCTTATGCAATCTAAATGATTCTAAAACGCAACTACCACTCATTATGACGGATACATTTTTTTCTTGTTTTATGAATTTTCCTTATTACACTATACAATTCGATTTCCTACCTGGCGTCGCGTCGTAATCGGATTTTTTTGCGTAGGAATTTTTGTTTGTGTTTTTTTTTTTAATTTTCTCCTCTGAATGTCAATCGACTCTAGTTTTATGCGTTTTTTTTTTTGTTTTTTATGTTTTTTTTCTGGAAGGTATTCTGAACTAACCGGATGTCAAACTCTGGTGCAATATTGTGAATTCACTCCTAAACTCGGCAGCGGAAGGATTTTTTTTATGGCTTGAATGTGCTTGTTACTTGCTAGTCGCCATCCGGTGCTAGGGAACAACTGCTGGCTTGCTACGATGGAGCCTACTGCACTCGAGTACTCTAGTACTGCATTGATGCTGCTATTACCGCTTCGGCTACTACAATAAATCCTCGCTTCTGTCGCCGCTGCTTCGGGTTGGCAGTGACTTACGGATCCGGTTAGTTCGCGGTAGGTCACTCCAGAACGTAGAAGATCCAGTAGCCAGCGTTGAACGCCGCGAAGCTGACAGGGAAGATCACCCGCGAGTACTTGTCGATCACGTTGACGTCCTTGATCTTCGGAATGGACGCCTTGATGACCGAGGCACCTCGCTTGATTGCGTGCAGCATCTTCGGGCGGTTGTGACCTGCGAAAAAAGATCAGTTAGCAAATCGATTTGCAATAGTTGGTTGGAAATTCAACAAACCTCGGTTACCTCGATACCTTAACCCGCTGGACCGGGTACTGGACCCGTAGGGGCGAGAAATTCGAAAGCTAGGAGGAAATTTGGCAAGATCTACGGCGTCAGCCCCGGTCGACGAAGTCGTGTTCGCGTAGTGACGGTTCCTGAGCGATGCGATCGGACTCATCCGGACGTCCTGCAGCTCGATGATGTCCTCGGACGAACAGCCCCCGCTGTTCTCCTGCTTTTCTGTGGAAGATATATATAGTTTGTAAATTATGGTGCTTTTGATGAAGCGATTGGTTCAGTTAATCACCCCCATCTTGGATTTCGTAATAGCGTCAGATATAAATTTCCGATCCCTGCAAGTTACTTCGATTCCAACAAACCCGTGTTGAGTATTTGACGGAATTTATAAAGAGCTTTGAGTGGGTTGGTTTATTTTCTTTAAATTCCGTTATAATTGCTTATCTTTTGACAGATACGCGTATTTCGTCTACTACTTGCAGACTTCATCAGTGCCAAGTACTCGACACCACCACCACCACACTGAGTACTTGGCACTGATGAAGTCTGCCAGTAGTAGACGAAATACGCGTATCTGTCAGAAGATAAGCAATTATAACAGAATTTAAAGGAAATAAACCAACCCACTCAAAGCTCTTTATAAAGGGATTCCGTTAAGAGGTTCGACAAACTTAAAAAAATGTAGGTTCTAGTGTGGGCTCAAGAGAAAGACGCAGTTAGTACCGCATTAGTACCCTTGATTCAAATAATGCTGCAACTCACACAAAACAAACTAAAGAAGTCTATTCATCATCCTTTATAGTCGGTCTCCAACAACGCTACCCACCGGTTCCAACTCTTTCTTGCCGCTGATAGACCGATGCTTTTCACATCACGAAAAGGTAGGTTTCTTGTCTACCTTTGAGGGCATTATAAACACAAATCACCGAAATTTCGCACACCCGCCACTTCCCGCGTCATCCTCAATACGATTTATCCTTACAATTTCAAACCAAAACATTCAAGGTGTCAGAAATACCGCGTTGCCGGGATGGATATTTTTCAAACAATCGCAGCTTTGCTCTATTGGCGTTGACGGCAACTCTGTAGCTCTTTACTCCTATGGAAATTCACGTAAGCAAACGTCAGACTGTGCGTGAAACATGGCGGCTTTTGTACTATCTCTTTACTCCACCGAACACTCCCGCAAGATGCTGTCAATTTTTGCTAGAAGAGACGATTTTTCAACGGTGCCGTCAACGCCAATGACTGATCGCAGTTGGCCGCGGTGTTTTTCTTTTGCTGCGTATTTTTCGTCAGCGAATTAAATATTTATTGCTTTAAGTTTGTTAATTTGTGTGCTGAAATTTAGTTTCAAGTGTTCATAAAGTTATCATTTAGTGATATATCGTATTTGACTGTGTTTGCCTTGAGTGACTTGGTTGACCTTAAATCTAACCCCCAAAATCCACGACGCAGCTTCAGTTTTATTGTTCGGTGTCGAAAATTGCCTCCCGGGAGCCCGGTTCTCCGAGTTCGGATATCACATTTTCGACGTGTAATTTTGTTCTATTGAGAGATTCGTCACCGTGTGCGAGTTTGAACCCGGTTCGGTTGGTGAATTAGCCCGAGAACGTGCTGATAATGTGCCCGTCGCGAGTTTTGGTGGTGATTCGGTGGCCGATGTTGCCGTGAATCAGCAATCGGTGTCGGAGATTGTGAGCAATGTGAAAAATGCCCCGCTGGATACGCCCAAGACTGGACGGGTGGTAGCTGGTGGCCGCGAAAGGTTCCTGGGAAAAGCACTAGACGCGAACCTCCTCCCAGATGACCATGGCAATGCAAGACAATTTGTGTTCGATGAAGGAAGTATTACGACAAAGGTGAATCATGAAATGAGATGCAAAGCGTAGAGAAAAACAAAACTACGGAACCCATGGATAGGATCAAATTAACATGGTGACATCAGTTCAAATACTTTTTTATAATTTAAAAACATAAACTAAACACGTGCCAGGATTCAAAAGAACATTTTGAAACTGGAAGTTTGTGTGTAATACTAATATCAAATTGACAGAGGTAATACATAAATGCGGGGCTTATTGTAAGTGAAAGTAACCTCGGAATGGGCGTGACTCTCCAGACATTCTGAAATGGGTTGTTGGATCTGCAATAGAGCTATCACCTTCTAACTCCCGGACTAAAGATGTCTACAATGACTATAAATGCGACATTGTAGAGAGAGTTCTTCCATAATAACACTGCCGGCCAGTGGGGGTTGGAGGGTATATACACACGCACACACCCACACACACACACACACACACACGCACACACACACGCACACACACACACACACACACACACACACACACACACACACACACACACACACACACACACACACACACACACACACACACACACACACACACACACACACACACACACACACACACACACACACACAAACACACACAATCGCAGCTTGCTCTATGACCGGCACAATCGGCACACCTGCGGTACACTTGAGGTACACTGACAAAAAAGATGATCCAAGATTGGAGTGCGGGGTGACCTACTCGTAGAGGTTCTAGTGACTACACTATGATTGTTTTGATTCGATATGAAAGTTTGACACATAAAATGAGGGGCTCGTAGATTTTCTTATGTTTCGAGGGGTGCATTGATTAGCTTGGGACCAAAGATAGTACCAGAGCTGAACCAAAAAGCTGAGCAGATTTCTTTGGGACCTTCTGGTCTTAGAGTTACCTCTATGGTACAACAGCGCTAGTTAACACAAATGCATTTAATTTCCATCGTTTGCATCTCGGTTTGCATCAACCATTGAGTTGGGATATGAACGTCAAAACAAAGCATGTGCTTTTTAGGTGATACCCATACATACATACATGCATCGAGGCGAAGATAAACAAACACAACAGAAAACGAAAACTCGTCGTTCCGCTCGATTTCGGTGGAGTAGAGAATTCAAGAGAAACTTCCTGCAACCTCCTGCAGCAAAGAAAATCGTACAGAAGCTCCCTCCTTCCACTGCCAAAATCCAAATCGCCCAAAACCTGCTCCACCGGGAACGCGAGACATCTCCGTTGAAATTCCCTAGAACCTCCGTTGGCAGCATCGAAAATCACCACCGTGAATGCGAGAAAACTCTGTCCAAGCTGCAACTTCCACTGGCAGAATCGGAAACCTCCAAAATCGTGTACATGTTCACGGCGGAGAGGATTCCGGGAGATTTCTGATGCTGCCAACGTAGGATCCAGTAGGTTTCGACAGTTAATCGAGGCTGATGCTGCCAGTCAGTGGTTTCATGAGAATTTCGACGGTGGAGAAGGTTCCACCGACAAACCGACATGACACTTAATTCTGAATTAAGCCCGAAAATCGTAAACGGTCGATTTAGGCTCTGAACCATATTTGGTGGATTATTTTAACTTTTGGTTAAAATTTGACAGATGGAAAATTATCGATTAATCCTGTTATCCGAGCTTGGTTACTTCTGACAGACAAGAAGTTAAATTTTGACAACCTTGGCTAAGTTCTTCTCGAAAACCGGTCGATCACGCACAGGGATTTTCGAACATAGAAAATAACTTTCGAAATGTCACTTTTAATCACAAGTGAAATTTAACTCGGCAAATGATTCACAGCCTTAAATGTGCAGTGATCCGAACTGTCAAAACCATAGGATTTTTTAATCTAGATAAAAATAATTTGTACAGAATAGATCAGACACGAACCAATTCATAACTTTTACATGCGGATTCATGGCTTAGCTAAATTTTTCCCGCGAACACGGATCCAGGTGTCAGTAGGGTGCTTTGATCATAAATTTTATTTTTTCATTCATGTGGGTTTGTCGTAGGAGGTTCTACGCAGTTCCGGTACTGTCAAATAATGTAAATATTTACATCGATTGTATCGAAGAATGTACCCCGAAAATTCTGGTACTCTGGTTCTGTCAAATCGTATAATGGTGGAGCAAATTTACAATTGGTCTTAGGGTAATTGATTCTGGTTGGACCTATCCAAAAACTGATGATGGTTGGACCTATTTTTTCAATCGCTAGTTTAGTCAATCTTCGCTAATTTTTTTTTTTTTTAATATCACTTTACTATTATAAAAAACTTTTTTTCTTCAATTTGCATGGGTGTTTTATTGAAAAAAAACTTCAAAACAATTGAGTTTCAATGTGTTTTCAAAACAGTTCACTTTCCACGCATTAGCTCGTCATCATGCCTTACTTTCAAACAGGAGTATTTTTTACATTTATTTTTATTTTCATGAAGTAAAATACTGCTTTAAGGTGTAAACAACACGTTAGTACGCCATTTATCCATTGGTTTCACTAAAATGTTTGAATAATTGACGAAATTCGAATAGATAAATATCATCATGGATGAACGCATGATGATGGTTGGACCTATGTGTTTCCTAAGACGTCCGCTAGGTGCGCTTCGGTTGGTCTACATCCTTCATGCGAAGCTGATGTGAAATCCGATTTCGTTTTGGCCGAGTGATCAGTTTCTTCGATTGAAAAAATGACTAAAGAAAAGAGTTATACGGTCGAAAATCTTCAAGAGGGTGTTCTTTTAGTAAGAAATAAATCACTTACCGCGTATCAGGCTCAGAAAAGGTACAATATTCCGAAAACGACACTTCACGCAAAAATTAAGGGAAACCATGGCAAGAAATATGGAAGGGAAATATTGTTGAGTGTTGATTAGGAGAACCAGCTAGGGAATTGGGTTTGTTTGTGCGCTGCTTCAGGCAGTCCCAAGACGTCCAAAAAGATCTTCGAAGCTGCTAAAGACCTTGCGTCACTAGTTGGGCGTAAATTTAAAGGAGGAATTCCTTCGTCAGGTTGGCTGAAAAGGTAACCACCGATTTCCGAACTACCACGGAAGCGCCGAAAGAATCTGTTAATATGAATTTTCATTAAGCACTTCTCATACACCTTCTGTTTGTGAATTAACTTGAAATAAAATGTTAACAAACTAAAAATTGGCAGGAAGTGGGCAATGTGGTCCAAGGCACTCAATTTTGTTATTGATCTTGTTATCGAATTTGGAAGTAATGTGAAGTGTCGCATGATAGGTTTTATTCCTTCCATGTCAAAATTAGGTCCATGTTCCATATACCCTGGAATTTGTTCCGGCCATATCTCGGGAACCAGTAGACCGATTCCAAAAATATTCAATAGCTTTCAATGGGACCACAA